TATATATACAATAAATATACATATCTACATCAAAAATGTTATACATCTCCACTATTCAAATATTTGTCATTCTAATTTCAATATGTATTTTTATTCAATTCGAAACTATAGGAGAACAATAAAAATCCATCACAAGAACCATATCCAGTACCAAAAGAATATGGCACTTAGTGGATAGGCTATATCGACACGGTATTAAAACTCCAGGACTTTTCGAAACACCAGGACTTCATAGTGAATAATAGCCATTCGAGATTGGTTAGATGAATCGAGTCAAGATCCGATGCGTATCCTTTTCATATTTTAAAATATTACACATTATATTATATATCATTATTCCTTAATATATAATATATTAATTTTTTTCATCATACATAGCTGGTGGAATACATTCGGTAGCAGAAGCATTATTATTGCTTTTAGAGTCCACAGCTGAACCTTTAATACCATACAATCTTCATAATGTTTGTCTATCTGCGGCAACTAATTATTTTCAATGCAAACAAGTAAATCAAATTAAAAATTCTGACTTTATTATAAATAAGACTATGATTAACTAAAATCGTCATATTGTTTCATTTACAGATTGTGATGCAGTTACCTGAAACTAGAAGAACAGTGTTTCTCTATATTAGTTCATTTTTGCAAGAGTTATTAAATCATATGCAAGATAACGAACTCGATGCTAAGACACTCGGTAGTTATTTTTATATAAATATATATTTCATCTATCATTTTACTTATTATTTACTCTACACTATTTTTTACACATTTTTAAGTGTTTGATGCATTATTATATTATTTGCAGCCACATATTTGGATCAATATTTTTGAGAGATCCACCGAGGAGCAGAGATGATCGTCATCAAAGAAGTCGCGCGACTCAATTACATTTGATAAGAAGAAAGCTGCATTTGTTTATCATTTCCTAGTCAACGATCAAAGCGATTTTATATTGGGTCGATAACGTGAAGATCCAATTTTAATGAAATCCATAATACTAACAATATCACTTCAGCAACGAGTTTTTTAGAATTTTTAAATAGAGAAAAGCTGAAAAATATTAGATGTCTAGCTAGCAATTTTTTAGCGCTTTTTATATCAACATAAAAAATTGAACACATGCTTCTATTATTTGCTATAGAAGCTACTTTTCATAGCTACGTAAACAATTCGGTAGGTACATGTCGTAGATAGCTTAAGAAATTATGTAAATGTATTAATTCTTAAAAATAAATTATTTATTACGTGCACATAAATATAAAATCATATTTAATTGATAAAACCATTCTCTGTAATGAATTTATCTAGTATACATTAATATATAATTTTTGTAGCCAACGAATAAACGCATGAGAATATATAATTAAATATCAGACACTTGCTATTACTCTTATCAATCTATTTAATGAAGTTTTCCTTAAAAGTGTAATAACAGGATAAAATAATGAAATCTATAAATATTTATTGGCGTTTTATTAAAAAAGTACAAAGTAAATAATAATAATGTGTGTGAACTTTTTTTCATAGTAAAGTTGTACAGATTATTATAATGAACAATAAATCACTATTTTATTAATTTTAATTATGAATTTTTTCCTGTAAATTATCAAAATTTGTTAATTAATCCTTTATAAAATTATTTTACATAAAAAAAATATAATTGATTTTGAAGAAAACTCACATAACCATACAATGATCATTTTCTATATAAAGAAGAAAGAATAAAATACATAAAGTCACACATATTTTTTCTTTAAGCTAATATAAGGAAAAAAACCAAACTCAAATCAATTAAGCCTTGAGACAAAACACTCTTTTATCGCACTTTAGAAATGATATCAATAATTCTGAAATTTCTAATTTACAAAATTATACAACAGATAATTTCATTTATGTCTAAAAATATCTAAGACATACGATACTTAATTATCTAGTCTCGTTAATAATTATATATGCAATGAATATAGAATTCCTTTTTTATAATAAAATATATAAGGAGATGAGCTTATTTTTTTATAAATTATTAAATAATCAATTTAAATATTTTTCCTTTTTTTCTGGCACTTCGTGAATCGCTAAAACTTGATTGAATAAACATTTATAAGTCAAACAAATAACCAATTTTAGAATTTTTGTTATAAATCATTATCACTATTTGGACAGTTACAATAAATCGATAATCAAGTTTCGTATGTATTTACATATTATTCGACTTACAGTATTTCTTTTTCAGATCCAGAGATATATTTTCAAAACTGAATTTATCTGTCGGCGCAGTCTCCGTTACATTAAATTCAAGATGCCCATCAGCATTCTCTTTAGAAGTAAGTGTTGCTTCTTCACCATCCTAAAAAAACATTTTTTTTAAGAGAAAGTAAAAAAAATTTTTATTGCATTTATAATTCATACCATCATGGCTATAAAACAGAAATCTCAAAATTTTAATGCACAAAATTAATCTATTAGGATAAAAAATAGATCTAAAGCACAAAAAACTAAACTAGACAAAATAGAAGTCGTCACTGATTATTTTCTATAAGTTATTATTACATTAGTTAACTTATTACACTAGTTTTGGTTTGTAAACAAAATGTTATGTATTACAAACCTTTTCAGAGAAAAATGTATCAATCATAGCCATAGATTTTTGATAAACTTGTTCATTCTGATGATGTTGCAGAAGCTCTAATTTATCTAATCCTCCACATTCTTCAATCATCATAGCAAGTCGATCCACTTCTCCCATTTTTTGAGCAGCATGCAAAATATTCGTTAAGCCATCTAAGACGACAATAATAATATTCCAATCTTTTGTTTCCAATAAATTGCAGAAAGGTGTCAATACACCCGCCTGTACTAACTGAGCCAAATTTTGGATTGTCCCACCCGATGTCAGATTAGTTATAGCCCATGCAACCTCTTTTTGTGCTTTATAATCCCCCTAGGAAAATATATCAACATTTATTAATAAAATTCTCTTTCAAAAGTTTGTTGAAATAATTCTCTTGGCTGATTATTTCCTTATTTTCTATGCATAAACACACTTACAAATTGAAGAACCTCTATCAATACTGGTATCAAACCAGCATTTATCACATGTTGAATCTGATCCATGTTACCAGCTGTAATATTACTGATCGCCCAAGCAGCTTCCTTCACGATATTAGGACGTTGATGTCGCAACAAAGCACCAAGATGTGCTAATCCTCCCGCAGAAATTACAGCATCCGTTTGAAGATCATTACCTGTTACTATATTCCCAACTGCACGCAATGCTGGAGTAAGGACAGTTCCTTCTTTTGATGTCAACAAATTTACGAGTTTAGGTACAATGCCAGTTTCTAATACCGCTTGTATTTTGTCATTGGAACCATCAGTAAGATAAGAAAGTGCCCAACAAGTATCAGCTAAACATAAATAACAACATAAATACCTTCTTCAGATATAGAGTTCACTAGTATAATGCAAATATAATGCAATAAAACATGCAAATGTTTTACCAAGCACATCTGTATCTGTATTGCTAAGTAGACGATGAAATACTGGGAGAGCAGGTTTGATCAAATCAAAGGGTGGAGGTGGATTCTTATTTCGACACAAATTAGATAAAGTCCAAACAATGTTGCGCATGAATGTCACCTGTTATTGAAAATATTATTAAAATATATTAATGTATTAGAAAAAAAAGAAAAAAAAAAACAAGATTTCAAAGATAAGAGAAAGTCAATCCTGTGATATTCTTTGATATTTTTGATTTTCGTTTGATATTTTTTTCTTTTAGCTATTAATATATATTTTTTTCTAAGTTAAAATTTTTTTTGCATTATTCTTTCATTAGTATTTAGGTAATAATACTAATACTGTTAAAGTGAGCAAATCAAAGTAAAAGATGAAACACGCAATATAAGAACAAAAGTTTTAGAGAAAAAAAATCATAAAATAAAGAAAATTGATATTTGATAGTGCTATATATGTCAAATATATTACATACGGAAGCATCAGGTTTAATTAACTCAAGTAAAAGATTTAGAGCGTCGTGTCTAAGAATAAAATCGCGCGCATGTGGTCCATCTCCAGCTATATTTCCCAAAGCCCATACTGCTTGTTCTCTAACATAAGGTGACGTGGACTTGAGTAGTTTCACCAACTTTGGTACAGCTCCATTCTTTATAACACTTTGTGTTTGTTCGGATGTACCCGAAGCTATATTTGTTAATACCCATGCTGCTTCAAACTGCAAGCGAATGCTAAGCACAAAAATAAGAAAATTATTTTTACATTAATACACAAAAATCAGTTATTACACATATACATACTTATGATCGCAATCCAAGAGCTCAATGCAACGTGGTACTATGCCACGCTGTATAATATCATTGATAGGAGGATCTTTTTCTCGACTTAATAACTTTCGACAAGACTGTGTCGCTATCATTTGTGTTGTTTCATCTGATGATTTTATACCTTCTACGATTTCATCTATAGAAAGTTGAGGCATAGGGGGAACAAAATTTTGGTCCCATACAGTTAATGAATCTTCTTCAGTATCAAGGTTACGTCTCTTTAATAACTGATCATCTTTTTTCGCTTTACGTAACACTACTGACAATGCATTCCTTCTTCTTCGTGCTTCCTGAAAGATATATATATATGTCAAACATTTTATGTATAAAATGTTGAATCAAATAGTTAAAATATTCTTATGTACTCTACATAAAGAATGAAAACAAAGTTGAATAAGATTTTAATATTGTTAAAATAGCAATGAAATCAAGAGGTTATATTTTAATGTTGCTATTTTAAAACCTTTTGAATATTTAAGATACACAAATTTAGAAAATAATTTTCTTCACTTACTTCATGTTTATTGGTAAATTTAAATTCTGCCATACGCCCATGGCCTTGTTTTTCTCGAGAAGGCATCTTTTTGTCGCTGTACATAAATGGACTGAATATATTTCGATTTTTTCGAAGTTATAGTTGGCTCTGCTGTTTATAATACGAGTAAAAAAAATATAAAATAACAAGATAATAATGATGCAACATATTTAAAAGGAATAAACCGGGCAAAATACATGTGAAAAGGTCATGAATTTTTACGAATTTTATACAGATTCGTAGATGATTTAAAAACTACATTTTATTTTCAAATTTATCCTAATCATAACGGTTACAGGCGAATGATTGCACGTGTCTTTTGTATGAATCTTTTTAATACAGGGAAAAAACAACTTGCATTGAACATGATTAATATGTTACCTGTATACAGATTGCCGAGAGAAATTGCAATTTGAAATGTATCCTCCCTAAGCCAAATCACAGTACGATTAAATCGCAAATTCGCATATAACTTTCTCAATTCCCTTCGTTCGTCCTTCTGGTAATAAAGAGCATTCATACGACCTGTTGCTACTGTCAAAGATAAAAAAAGAAAGAGATATATTGCTGTTTACAATTTGCCTCCCGAGAGAATCGTCAGCCATTCGATATGGATTCGCGCAATTTGATTGGTGGACAATATTCCAACGTTTAGATTTTAAATTGTGAAGTGACCCTGTCACAGATTAATAGACGATCGCCAAAGGTCTGGATGAAGGAGAGACCAGTATTTCTCACTGATTTCAGCGCCATATCGTAGTAGTGGTCAATGCAGTAACTATTAATACGTTCCCAAGATAAGAGCGTCTCATGCTCATGAACTCGTCCGGCGGCATGTACGAGATTTATCTTTTCGTAGCGTTCGCGTATTTCGGAAAGGACAGAATTTTATGATGTTATAAATAAATAAATAAATAAATAAATAAAATATTAACCTGACCTATTATAATTATTTTTTAATAAATGTTTCATTATTATTATCATCTAAGTCTAAGTCGTTTAATTAATTTTTAGTTTTTTAATAATTAATTTAATTTATTCTAATCATTTTAATATGTGAAAAATACTAATACGTATACGTTTTATAATGAATTAATATATTTCGAGAGTCGAATTATATATTTTTAATAATATAAAAGTGTTCAAAAATTATATTTGACTTTTAATTTTAATTATTTTAGCAAAGAGTTCCGAAATCTCTTACACACATAATAGGAATTTTGTTCATCCATATAATTCGCAATTAAGTATATATGTTAATTATTAATTTTAATAAAATACAAAATTAAAATTAAAGGTCAAATATAATTTTTGAACATAAATATATTTAATTCGTTATAAAACGTATACCCGTGATAGTATTTTTCTCGTACAAAAATAACTAGAATAAATTAAATTACTCATAAAAAAATAAAAAAATAATTAAATAATTTATATTTTATATGATAATAATAAAACATTTTATAAAAAAAACAGATTCAATAAATATAAGTATATATATAACATGTACTTATATTTATTGAATCTGTTTTTTAATAAAATGTTTTATAAGCTTAGAAAACTTGACTTCGACGTAACTAGCAAATTTTATTTAATTATTTCACGACGGTTTGACGTAATAAAATGTTTTATTATTATTATATAAAATATAAGTTTAAATTCTTTAATTAATTTTTAATCTTTTATGATTAATTTAATTTACTCTAATTATTTTTGTACGAGAAAAATACTATCATGGGTATACGTTTTATAATTAATTTAATATATTTGTGTTTAAAAATTATATTTGACCTTTAATTTTAATTTTTATTTTATTAAAATTAATAATTAACATATATACTAAATTGCGAATTATATGGATGAAAAAAATCCCCATTATGTGTGTAAGAGATTTCGGAACTCTTTGCTAAAAAATAATTAAAATTAAAAGTCAAATATAATTTTTAAACACTTTAATATTATTAAGAATATATAATTCGGTTCCCGAAATATATTAATTCATTATAAAACGTGATATTATTTTTCTCACATAAAAATGACTAGAATAAATTAAATTAATTATTAAAAAACTAAAAAGTAATTAAACGACTTAGACTTAGATGATAATAATAATGAAACATTTTATTAAAAAAAGATTCAATAACTAGTAGGTCAAGTTATAATTTTTTATTTATTTATTTATAACATTATGAGCTATTAAGCTCATCATCTCGTTCGCTCTCTGTCTTGCTTTCATTCGGCAAGTCACAAACGATATATGATACTCGTATGTTCCTACTTCAACTCTCGAGAATCTGAAACAAACGAAACTCGTGTCCAATATACAGGGTGTCCGGTAACTAACAGACCAATGATTACAAATGGATTCTTTGGTCAATTTGGGAACGATTTTTCCTCAGCGAAAATGTCGAAAAAGGTCATCATTTTTTACAACTTTCCAATCTTTGTCATTATATATCTTTATAACTAAGCCTTAAATTAAAATTTTATTATAGTAAACTCTACCTGAAATTAACTGAAGAATGTAATTATGTTAGACTTTTAACTCCAAAACGTTTAGTTTTCAAAAAACCTATTTTTTTCAATCGCTTATAACTCGAAAATTATTGACTTCTCTACATTTTTGCTAAGGAAAAATCGTCTCCAAATTGGCCAGAGAATCCGCCCTTAATCATTGGTCCGTTAGTTACCGGACACCCTGTATATATTATATAAAAGTGTATAGCACGTCAGAAGCTTGTGAGCTTACAGCGATAAGTAAAAACAATTGCGTATCTATTTCATTGCGTTTATCTGTTTAAACGCGCGCTTTAATTTTTCCAACGTTTTTGCCTGTTTATATTTTAAAGGTCCTCTCTTCTAAAAATCTTGTTTTAAAGATCCTCTCCGCGAGCAAAATTCGAAAACATAAATTATTTAATATTTTTACTTTATTATTTGTAAATCCTCGGTAATTTCAAAATTTTTCTATTTGAAAATTATTAATTTTCTATTGACAATTAATTTTATCACAGACTTTACTCTTACTCCCATTGCACTTTCGTTTGCGGTTTTCAGTATACGATTTTTTATCGTAGTTACTGAAAATTATTATTGTGAATTATACTTGTGCAGTGATTTGAAGAATTTACAATTTCGTTGAAATTGTTGATTCTTCAAAAAAATTACGAGATTCGCGGAAATTGCGTGCTTTCTTGGCATTTTCCGTTCGCGGCAGGCGGTTTATTTTTGATTGTTGCAAGTGTTTTTTTTTTTTTTTTATTAAAATAGATAATAATAATGTGAAATAAATCACGATATTTGACAGATGTGCATATATATAGAAATTGTAATAATAATAATATTATATCATAAAATTGTAAATTGTTTCAATTTTTTATAGACTGCGATAAAAGATTTTACATTTGGATAAGAAACTGCGGTAAGTAAAAATATAAAATTCTTGAAAACGTACCAAAAATATTTGATAACGTAAAAAGGTGAACTTTGAAAAATAAGGAACTTAAAAATTGCACTAATAAATGGGCTATATGTGAGCCGTGCGCGGATGTAAGGTGTGTTATATCGAAATTTAATTAATAGAATTGAGAATTAATCCCAATTTTAAGTCTTACAAATGTCCAAGCTAATTTTTTGTACCTCGTGTACATTTTTGAAAGTTATATCGAAAAATTAAATTTCAATATGCGTCTTACATCTCACATTTCGCATACGGCTCACATATAGCCTATTTATCTCTTATACTTTATTTCAACCCTTATAGAAATTTATTACTAGTAACGCCAATTTATCAATTTTTTTCGAGTAATTAATCACTTTTATTTCGAATACTTAAATTACTGTATATTATAGTATTTTAAATACTCGAAATAAGTGATTAATTGGCATAGTGATAAATTTCTACAAGAGAATAAGGAGCCTTTAAATTCTTAATGTAAAAAATTTAAGTAATTTTCTTTAATAAAATTTAATTAAAAATTTTTGAACACTGTGTTATATCACATTTAAAATCGTGATTATTTCAATAAAAAAACATTTTATGTGTAAAAAATATATTTTTTATATTTAATAAATTTTATATATATATATATATATATGCATATGTAAAATATTCTCTTTCTCTTCTCTCTCTCTCTCTCTCACACACACACACACACAACGGGGGCCAAATCTCTCAAATTGGTCTCATGATCAATTAGCCTGGATTCGCACCAGGGGCAAAGTCTGTTGGTAATGTCAAACGAATTTAGCCTGGACTTGCACCAGGGGCAAAGTCTTTTGGTCGAGTCTACGAAATTTAGCACGGACTCGAACCAGGGGCAAAGTCTTTTGGTTCAAGTCTACGAAATTTAGCACGGACTCGAACCAGGGGCAAAGTGTGTCGGTAAGGGGCAAAGTCTATCGCATGAAGATGGCGGTCTCTTCTTTAGGCAGGCCTTTGGCGATCTGTCTATTAATCTGTGACCCTGTGAGATATATATTTACATATTTTAAATAAAAAATTACGCTTTATTACAAAATTGAAATAATATCACAAATTTAGTATAATTCCAATATTAAAAATATGGCCAATTATATTGAACTCAATTAAAATTCAATGATTTTTTATCTTTATCCCTTTATTGTGTACTTCTTTATCTATCAGCCAAAGAAATTTAATTAAATTTTACACACATATATGTACACTATATTGTTCATATATAATATCGACTCATATTTATAAATATATATAATTATAAATATATATTACATATATCTATATATAATCTCTTTCGCTTATATGTTTATGCAGAAGAAATAAAAATAAGTGAAAAATCATTTAAAAAATACTTTTCACTTTTTTTAAAAACAATAAAGTTTGCAATTGGATTATTATAAACTTTATTTTCCTAAAAAAAAAATAAAATCATTTTTCTAATTACTTTTCTTATATGAAAAAGAATACATGAATATATTCTACATATAATTATATATATTTTTATATGATTATATATAATATATACTATGGACAATTTTTTTCCTTGGTATATATATAAATTATAGAAATATATATTCAATATTACAAATATCATTTAATTAACGATTTTATATTTTAATATTAAATTTGTCAAGAAAATACCTTATGTGCTTAGTATAATACTTTATTAAAATGTGATGCATTCTTTAATAATTTATAAAAATACAATATACACAGTACAGAAATTCTATACTATTAAATTCTAACAATAGTAACCAATGTTAAGAAATATATAATATTTAATATTTATTATTACATTGTGTATCAATTAATTCAGTCCATATTCAGTCCACAATTCAAGTAGCGCAATATATAAGGTACATATTATATGGAATTAAGTATATCATTTGTAATATACAAAAGATATTTCATAATATTGTATTGTCTTGTATATATTATAGAATTTATAATCTTTAATAGCTTAATATTTATATCTTACAAAATGAGTTGAGTATAACCCGCACATTAAATATTATGTGATGAAAGTGTCAGAGAAGGCACTGTAAAATTTAAATAATATTTATATAACAAACTTTGATACAAAAAAAAATGATTGTTTTTCTCATGTAATACAAGATTCCACTGTCTTTTTGACGGCATCACGAGCATACGGTATATATGACAAGGAATACCATGTCATAGCTAGTGACTGAATAATTATAAATAAGAGAGCTAAACCAGGATTGTGCAACTGAAAATAGAAATATATTATAAACATTTTCAGAAAGATATTAATAATAGGAAATAGAAAATACTTACATATAAAGCTGCAAATAATGTCAAAGCAATAGTGGTAAACACTAATATAGTTGCAATCAATCTTGTTGACGCAAACATCTTCTTAAGTTGATTGAATGGACCCATTAAGAAACATGTGCTGCAACACAGAAATTAACATATTGAATATTTAATATAAATAATATGAAATGATCTAATATCATTGTTGTAATAATATCAATGTAGCATACACTCTGTTATTACCAAAGTGTAAGAATCATACAATTGTGTAAATATAATTTGCATTTTACCTTGCTAAAGAAATAATATTGCCTAGAGTGTAGAATACAGCAAATACAGCGAGGCCTTTCTGTAAGAACAGCGCAAAGGATCCAAGAAACGAACATAATATGCCTACAATGAAGCAAATTGCAAAACCTTTTATCCTGGTAGACCAACTTAATGTCGTTTGATCCATAACCTATGTCAAACAGAGAAAAATATTAATCTTCTAAAATTTTTCATATAAAATAACAACTCATTATAATTATATGTAATGTATGCAGATGTTGCAAGTATATATAAAATATATATATACTTGTAGCAATGCTTTATTAATTTACCGTGAAATCCGTATCAACCTTCCATCGTTGATCAGATGTAAGCATTTAAAATAATAATTTTTATAAGTTTATGTTTATATAGAAATGTATATATCAAACTGGATTTTCATAGAAATAATATATAAAAAAAGTAATTATAATTAATGCAGCCAGTACTGATACTATAAGAAATGTAATTACCTGTGTAATAATACCACTCTCCTCATCGCATCGTTCATTGCCATTTAGGGCTCTTCTTAATTTATCCATTTTTTTAATTCAATAATGACAACGAATTATGTAATTATTTTCTCCAAAACTAAAATATCGAATTCATCAACATAAATTTACTGATATTATTCAATATAAGGTTATAAATACGAGGTTATATAGTTGAACGAAACATTTGCGTTTCCTTAACAAACTTCGAATTACACGTGTCACTTTGATTTATCGAGCAAATAATCTATACATATGAATTTTTAATTGTGGAAATTACATGCGCTGTTATATTTTGTATATACGTGTCTCGTTTACTTTCGTAAGAGGTGTGTTTGCTATGTAATTTGAAGACACTTTTCAACTCTCATAAGGAGAAAAAATAACTGGAAAAATTTGCATTGACGATGTTCTAGACAAGGGTCGAGCGGAGAAAGGGGAGATATTAATTTACGATTTACGTCATTATATTACACACAATCTGCGAAACAAAGAGATAATCATTTCTCTATATATAACTTGATGACAAATTTCTCCAAAATATTTAAGAAAAATATATATGTGTATATAAATTCTTGTACAAGAAAATGAGCATAATTCCATATATGGATCTATTTTATATATATATACATAAATTAATTCTTTAATTATTTTAACCCTCTTGGTTTAAACTAATTAATGTTATGTTAATTATAAATTAAATAATATGAAATAGTAATAGTATATATATACATATATTTTCTGTAGAGATTTTAATATGTATATTTGACAAATTAATCCATAAAAAAGTATATTACATGTATTCACAATTATAGGTTCATTTCGTTAAAAAAAATAAATAAAAAAAAATAAAAAGAAACTGTCAAAAATAAATTGATAAAATTGATTAAAGGAAAATGTTAAAAAAACATTTTTCAATATTATATATATTTTTTTAAAGTTGAAAAAGAAATAGAAATAGGTATATAATGACAGAAATATGCGAAATACTAACCCAATTTGTGCCAGTATTAAGCATCAGATATACTCATTAGCGGTGTTAATTATCAATGTTAATTAGCGATGCTAAAATAATAATTAATTATCAATAATAAAATATAAATAACTATTGTACAGTATCACAAACAGACTGATAGGTTAGGAATTTGGCGGGCTACAGGCTGCAGACGCACGATAGTTTCGGTCGCTACCGCTACGTTGCGCAACGAAACAAGCGATTCTCGTACGTGAAATTTCTCAAATAGGGTATATAAGACGTTCAGAATCGTTGCAAAGTATCGCTTCTCGGCTCTCTGAGCTAAGATCAAAGTGTAGTATCTGTTCTTATCAGCTTAATATCTGATACAATCCCCATAGGGGATTCAGAATATTAAACTGATTTTTGGAACCGGGCGGGTGACCGGAGCTTGCTCCGACTCTGCCGCGGGTCGGCCTGGCATTGCAGTACCGCTAGGAACGGCCTAATAAATTATCCAAAAAATAAATTCGTTAGCTAAATTAATAACTAGAATTTTATAAACCGCACAAAATAGTAAAGATAGTATTATACGTTGTTCGGAAATAACGAAAAAAATCGATATCCGGCTACGCGTATATAAATCTAATAGCAATACTCAGACATTTTAGTAGTATTATTTTATTAATTTTATATTAATTTTATTTGAAATATCGTATACGTTTGAATTATATTCAGACTGGAAGTGTGGGACAATATTTCAAAATACAAAAATTCTCAAATACTGTATACACATCATATTGCTCCTTGCTTTTAGATTATCATAAAAAAATATTAGTTATTAATATTTGCTACGCGCGCGAAAGCTCTCATTTTTTTATCTTTGACTACTATAATTTATATAATTTCTGATTTACTTAAAAATGATTTACTTGTGTGTGATTTGCTATGTATTAATATATATTATAAAAAATATATTGTAAAAAGATTTATTACACATATATCTATACATAATTCATGTTTAAAATATATTTGTTTAAATATAATAATTAAAATCTAGAGATGTAATTTATTGTAATGTGTTTTCAAGTAACAGCAATCTGAGATCATAAACCTGTAAAACAAAGATATATATGTATATAATGTGTGTGTACACGTTTATAACTATTATAAAATAATTGATAATAGTTAAAATTTAGTATGTTAATTAACATTAATAGCTATGTTTGTAAATTAATAATTATAAATTTGTTATTTTTCTTACCTATACAGTAACACTGTTAAGGGAATAGTACTGGCATGCCATAAAGAATGAGCATCGAAGATCCAAAAGATAGGAGGAAAATCTGCCAATTCTAACAGAGTCACAAATACGACCAATGTATTAAACCAACCGATTAAGTACACATGAGACAACTTGTGATTAAAATACCACCACAGCATTGTTATCGCAAAGGTTGTCAAACCTTAAATCATAACAATTTCATGTTTAAAATAATTTAGTATAATTATTTAATATATATTTAATATAATTATTTTACTATTAACTAACAATGTAAAATTTACCTATTGTTATATTAAGCATCATATTATAACCATAATTAATTTTGCCTGACCACAAGTGTGATAAATGTATACATAAAATACTTAGATATCCGCAAGTTATTATAACAAATGCTCTATTCTTCTTGTATGTTATCCTAAAAAATAATCAACACATATATTAAATTTAACATTATATATTGCAGACTAAATTTTTGTATATTTCTTAAATATTATATATTATTATAAAATTAATTTAAAATGTTCCATAGTTTTGAAGACTGTGGACAAAAAAAATGAAGCTATTGCATGTTACCTTAAAAGCATGCAATATAACAGTGTAAGTACCATACTGAATGCGCAAGAATAGTCCATGGCTTCTGTAAATGGTCTATCTCGTGAATGAAATACAGTGGACCAAAACCATCCATTCAAGCATATCTGTAATAAAACTATAGATTAGTTTGAAGAGTGCTGATTGTTAAAAGTCATACATAGAAAGATTAATATGACTAGAATTACAAAAATTGACAAATATCATTGCAGAACAATGGACAGTTTTCTTGAAAAAAATATATTACCTATAAGATGCATTAATTTGCAGAATTTTAAAATGTAAAGTTATTTTTTATTTATGACTTTGGTTATCAAATTGGAATTTTCCTTAAAACGAATTTGAAGCTGATATTTGTTATCTATTGTTAATTATGATTAAGCTTTTTGGCTGTAATTATAATTTAAATCTAAGGTGAAAAGTCTATTATATGTGAGACACTCTTGAATATACTTACAATACTGAAATATTTCCAAACATAAAACATAGGGTTGGTTCTATCTGCTCTTCTTTTAAATTTTTGATACATTGACCAATGTGCATAAAAATTTAATACAGAGAATAAAACTGAGGCAGGTTCCTGACATCCAAATAGACGGATAAATGGCCACTACAAATGTGAGAATGACTCTTGTATTATATATATAAATAGAATATAGAAAAATAGAAAATAGAAATATAGAAAAATAGAATGTTATAAATGCTGTAAGAGCAAAATTTTGTGCAAGATTAACATATACAGAAATCAAGATATTACACGAAAAATATTTTATATAAATTTATTTTATAGAAATAAATATTCTTCTATGTGTGGTTATACTACATATTTTTGTTTCCTCAGACTATTAACGTTTACACTCAAGTTTTGTTATATGTATAACAAACCATATATGATAAATATTTTCTGTAATGTTTCAATTTTCTGTATAACATGATTCTTCATTATAGCATTTAAATATATTCTTATAAAATTATATAGTTTTACATTTTACTTACTTTTCCATGGAACTGTGGTATTTTTAAACCATGAGATACAAAAGAGTCAACGGTCCTCCATGTGCAAGTATAACTGCAATCTTCTTTGCAGGACCAATGTAGCAAAATTAATGATAAAGGAGGTTGTTCCTTAAAAGTTGTTTCTACAACATGTTGTAAATATATCTAATTAAAAACTATATCAAATATAATTATCTCTAAATTCTTCTCTGTATTATCGGATGTACAGAAAATATTTTTATATGTAGAAAAGAATATACATAGCTAAAGCAACAAAACTTTATAAATTTGATATATTTTCAGTAAATTTTATATAATATACACACACACACACACACACACACATATATATATATATATATATATATATGCAAAATAAAATTTTTTCTTCCAATCGATAAATTGTTAAATACTTTGAATATATTAAGACTTTAATTATAACACTAATTTAAATATTAATTAACCATAACAACGAGAAAAAAAAGTACAAAATCAATTGTTACCATTTTTGCAATTCCTAGTGAGACACGATGCCAGACATTGCCTGTATATTTGTGATTTGTCACCTATTGAACCAACCGTATTTCCAAATAGGAAGACTGGAAAAATTAACAGAAGGATCCATGCCGACTTTGACATGCCAATACATCAAAATCATAACCTAACCAAATTGAAACTGACAGCAATCCCTGAAAACTGCTTGTAAGCACATAGAATCGCAATGCGCATGCGTTGCAGTATATCGCGATATTTTCTCTCTCTCTCTTTTAAAATGATGCTATGTTCATGTGTGTGGAAGAAGATAGAGAAGCAGATTCGAGGAAGAGGAGGGGAAAAATTTCACGCATGAAATATACAATATGCGTCATTCTTGATGATCATTTTTAGCACGAGAACGTGAGATTACGGCAAATAGTAAGGATTCTATCAAGAAGGAAGATTGGTATTTTGTCAAAAACGCGAGGAAGGGAATACCAGATGATTCGCGCGGCCGTTTAGAGAGACAAAGAGAGTGAGAGTGAGAATAATGAGATATGCGCTTAGGAATAATTGAGGAGATGCGTAGGGGCGCGATAGAAGGATAGAGAGAAACACCTGTTGGCTAGCTGTCAACCGAGTCGGCCCACCTGTCAAACGCGATGGCCCACCTGTTCAAGAACCTCAGCAACAGTATTTGGCATGCGTTTCACGCACTGCAGGCCGATGATGTCAACACAGTGGCAAAGTCGAAGTTGAAGGTAAATTTTTTAGAAGAAAATTTGCCGAAAGAACCTCCAACTCAGGCTACATCGCCTGACGATTCCTGTCAGATCTTATATCACACATTTTATTTTTACATCAGATATGTATCCTCTCACAATCTGATCTGCCCACAGGTGTTGACAGCCAATATCGGTACATTGATGGATTTATATGGTGTGGAGAAAGGTCTAGAACATTATCGGAGTACACTGAGCTTGACATTTGATCAGTATATGTATTATTTACAGAAAGAGGTAAGGCATTTTCTAACAAAAAAAATCATTAAGATTATTTTTAGATGCATAATATTTTAGAGAATAAATGTTTTTCTTTTATTTTTTCAAGTTATTTTATATTTTTCTCTTTTAATATTTGGTTTAAAATATTAGTTTTATCTTTACTGCATTCAATTTAACAGAATTGTTAAATGTTTCAGGTATTTTCTTCTGTAACTGATGCTACCTCTATACACACATTGAAAAGACTGGAAGAAGGAATAGATGAAATCTGTTGGCTGGTCTGTAAAAAGAACTATCTGGAAAGATCCCATCCAGTCTTTGAAAACCATAGTGTTTATCAATTATTTAGAATTTACTGTTTGCTAGCTGAGACAGATCCAAATGCAACAGATTTTCATCTGGTTGGTAGTTTATTCCATTGTAAACAAATGCATTTCACTATTAGATATTCAACATTATATTTGTATTATAGGTAACAATGCATGGTGACGAGGTAGCACGAATTGCATCTCATCTGGCAATGTCCTTGGGTTTACAATGGGATTCTATGGACTTTTCTGCTCTATCAGCAGCTATCAGAATGTTTAAGTAATATTTCACGTATATAATCAATAATAAAAATACAAAGAACATAATTTCTTCATAAAAAATTTTTCGAAAAGGTTTTCCACATTCCTGGCGGTTCTTGAATCTAAATATAGTGGTGGCAATACCTTGGACACTGTGGCATTAACAGAAGCTATTGATGATCTATACCAAATTTATGTGGAAAATGTAGTGAAAAAGGTTGGTCAAAATTTCAAGTAAACTAAGAAAATTATTTTATAAGAGAATTTGTTATATTACATATATTCAGATTATTTTTTACTATTATAATTATTTTTACTGCACAGGGTTATTTGATGAAAAAAGGTTTTCTACTGCCAACACTGCGATACTTTTGGTTTGTACTGCGCCCTGGTGAATTAACATATTATAAGGATCCACACCAAAAAGAACCATCTGGGTTAATATTATTGAATGCTAACTGTTGGGCTGACTCTGTGGCAAACAATGGAAAGCCTGATAGAAGATTCGTTCTCAGCACACCTGAACACAGATGTATAGAGCTAATGGCAGAGGATCACAAAGGTAGGCTGCAATGGCTTGCAGCATTGCAAACGGCCATTCAGCATTCGGGCGAAAAAATCGGCTATCAGAGGAGTTTGGCTAATCAAAGAAGATCTTTGCGACAAGTAAGATTTGCAGAAAAATGAATAAAAAAACATTAATAGTTTTAGAAAGAATTTTTTTCCAAACGTTTTGTTATTGCTACTAGGCTACTAAACAAGAAAAAGAAGAAACCAAACTGGAACTTCAGCATGAGAGACAAGCTAGAATCGCTGCTGAAATACAAGCTCGAAAATTAGAAGCTTTGTCAAAAGAGGAAAGTGCCAAAGTTCAACAATTGGAAGATGTTAAACAGAAACTAGAACTGTTGCTACAAGAAGAAAAACAAGCTCTACGTGATGAAGAAATAGGTAAGAAGAATATTATGTATTTAATTTATATCACAATATGTGCATGTTTTTGTAAAGTTGTATAATTTAAATATATATTACAGTACGAAATTTGCAAGCAAGGGTACTACGTGAAGAATGGGAAAAAAGAGAACAATTAGAAAAACTGCAACAGGAACAGCAAGAATTATTGGAGATGGAGAAGATGAAAAGACAGGAATTTGAACAAAGTCAGCAGAAAAACGAGCAGCAATTACATGGTATAAGATCTAGAATATAAAAAAAATATTTAATTGTTTTGCATATATAATTAAATATTATTTTCTAATTATAATTATAATTATAATATTTAATTATAATATTTTTTAATATTTTTTTAAATAATTTGTTTTACTCTTTCTTGTTAATAGCTTAATTAAATTTGTGTATGTCAGAGGGAAAGAGAGATAAGGAGTAAAAGCTTCATTAAGCTATATATTAATTCAAATTTTTTAAAGTTTAATTTCAGTTTTTAATGTATTTAGTTTTTATTTTATACATTTTAATTTTATTTTGTTCATATTTTTATTTTAAGATTTTGTTTTTATTTTATATTGTTATTTTTAGATGCCGAATTACGACTTCAACAACTGGAAATGGAAAGGGAGCATTTGGATGCTGAGTTACGTGTTGCACGCGAAAAAGTGAAACGCGCTGAAGAGGCTCAAATTCTACTGGAAACGGAAATTGTGACACGTCCTTTAAGAGGAAACGAAAGGATCAGACGTACACAAAGCTTCATACCAACGACGAATGAACGACCACTTTCTATGGAAAATATCGATAACAGGGCTATGACATTGCAAAAAAATATTTGACACGCATTTCGTCATTGAGAGCTTAAAAAATCAATGCATTTATATTATCTGACTTGCATTTAAGTCTTCCACCAAATAGAATAATACAAAGAGCTTATACACAGAAAAAATGTTCTCTTAGAATTTACCCTGAATTCATGGTAATCATGGTGAGACAATATGGTATTGGAGGAATTTTATAAGTTTTTCTGATTAATATTTACCACAATAAAAATATGAATATCTACCACAATAAGATATAAAATATACTCGATTAATTTTATTATGTACATAGTAAAATTTACTACGTATTTATTAATATTTTTTATTGTGGTAAATATTAATCAGATACTCTTATAAAATTCTTTCAATTTTATCCTACCATATTATCCTACGATTTCCATGATTTTCAGGGTAAATTCTAAGAGAAAATTCTCTCCGTGTAGAAATATTCACTATAATATAGTTGCAGGGCAACTATGCTATATCTTTGTGAAGAATACGAAAATCTTCATGTGAGCTTTGATTAAGATTTTAAGATATGATGGTTTACCTTGCCGATACCTTGCTGCAATTTTAGTAAAAACGTATTTAATTGCATATACAAATACAAATGTTGTATATGCACATATTTTCTTGAATATTTTTCATTATTTCTCGAATAAAATCATTGTCCCGAAAATAATGTGACATTTACATTTTATAAAATAATTATAAAATATTAATACTATCTTTTGCAAAATACAATTTTCGTTTGATATATAAAAGAATATATATAAATATATTTTTGTTCCAAACGCGTTATTATAGAATGATATAATATATTTAATACGAATTTATATTTAATCTTGTTGAAACATATACAGATTGTCTTTAACCCACACACATATGTATGTGTGAAAATATTTTTATAGCATTTTATAAAAATAATTAAAATTTTCAAATAGAATTTTTATATTATTAATTAAGTTAATAATGCTCTCAATATAAAGTACAAATTTAAAATTCAATGGGCTATATATATATATATATATATATATATATATATATTATGACTCTTATTAACCTGTTGAAATTTAAATTTTATAGTATTATAATCCAGTGGAAATGACTTTGTCTCAAGTCAAATACAATTTTTATAACGTTTTACAAGCAACGCAATATCTTGTATCAAGTAGAACTCGATCATTATTGATCAAACAAGTATTTCATCTGACTGACACTAACTTAGTCTTATTATCGTTATTCCTCCGGAAGATTTGTATCTTGTTAAGAATAAACTATTTAAATATTAATTATTTAAGACTGTAAGCTTTAAATTCATTGTAAAATGCCGAAGAAAAAGGGGAAAGGAAGTAAATTAGCTCGCATGAGCGATGAAGAACGCGCTCGTTATTTGCAACATCGAGCTGAATTAGAATTAGAGAGCAAACGACGTAAGCAACAATTGATTGCGGCGTTTACCAAGGTATATTAAACTAAAATGCAATTTAAATAAATAGCAGAATGCAATAATTTTGTAATAAATAAATCTGTGAAATGTAGAATAAGCTGAAACGCGAGGAAGCGTTCTCGCGATTGAACACCGCAAAGATTAACGAACAATGGCGATTCATTCTACGCCGAATAAAATGTAAGGAACTTTATGAAAATGTGGACTATCTTTGGAAAAATTTTGATCGCATGATGAAGACAAAAGATTTCGTGATACGGCATTTATATAACGAACTAGAGATAACTGATATGGATCATAGAAGATTACAAAAGGCTCACATTCAAATAATTGATCGAATAATTGGTAATTTATTATATAAGTCATATGCAAAATATAAGCACGTACAATTAAATATTTTAATTTTAAGTTATATAATTTGAGAATAACATCCTAATTTAAATTTAATTTATATTTGCTTATTTGAAGAAAGATATTGCTAATTATGGATATTATAATAGGAACATATAAGCAGAAATGTATGCATATGCATAAATCGTTTACACATGAACGTAATCATATCGCTACCTACGAGATAAACGAATTAAAGAGAGTGCAAAGGGATTTAGAGCAACTGTGCGATCAACTGCAGAATATAATTGTTGGACAAGATAAAGAAATAGGGAGCAAATTGATGCAAACAAAAATACAAAACGCCATTAACGTATACAGCATTGTATACTTGGTACAGATATTTTATTATTACATTGTCGGTATATGGTAGATATTAATGTTTTTTCAGTTGTAAAAATATTTTAGAAAGAAGACTCTTTATCACGCTTGATGCAATACACTTCCAATGAGGTCGAGGAATTGTGGCGACAGCTTAATGAAACGATAATTGAATATGAGAACAATACAGGAGATAAAAGAAAGCAATATGAATATCTGAAAGAACAAGACGATGCTCATCATGCGAGTGTAGCGCAATATCCAAAGTTACAGATACAGTTGCAAGACATGATTAAGAATTTGAAACAGGGCACACACGTATTATCGCAAAAGCGGGAGTATAGTATAACGGAATGCAAGGATCAGATTGTGCAAATAAAAAAGAAAATTGAAAGCTTGAGACAAGAGTTTTCCATGACTCAAATACTGGATTCTACTCAACTGAAAAAATTGACTATTATTAGCACCAGCGTTCTAAAAGTATTAAACTTCGATAACAGTTTAATCTAATTTTTATTTATTTTTATTTAACTACTTATAAATGGATTTTTAAGATTGTCTAATTTATAGGAATTGAAGAGAATTTCGGAGAAGGGTTCGGCATTAATTTCGTTGTTGAAAATGTGTTCGAGTTTGGAACCGTTTTCACTGACTGTTCAGAAATATACTTTACGCGATACAGAATCTACAACAGCTTCCTCGAGCTGCGTGAGTATTTTGCATAGTAAGAAAAAAACATTCAATTGAAATAAGATTAAATAGTACGATTATTTGTGTAGATATCAGAGCCGTTCGTTAAATTGGAGAAGTTTTGGAAACAATTTAATTACATTAAAGCTGACAATATCTTAATGAAGAAAGAATGCGATAAGCTGTCTTTTGAAAATAAACAGCTGAGAAACACCTTGCGAACTTATCTGTTAACTGTTTCTAGAACTCCGACTGCGCGACTACTTACATCTATTTCTGTATAAACAGAATATATTTCTAACAAAAAGATCAACATTTTTTAAAAGATTAATTAAAAAGATGTGATTTAATATCCACCAATCATATTTTAAAAATATTAATCAATATTTTAAAATCAAAATTAAATTTTTAATAAATTTCTTCAAGAATTAAAATAATAAAAAAAAAGTTTATAATCTTTGTTAACACTAGGAATTAATAAAAAATGAAAGAATAAATATATTTACAAATAATTTATTCAACGGTGAATAAAAATTCCTCCTCCGAGCGATAAATATTTGTATGGCCGAGCACGAGTCCGCCCTTTCACAGGATGGAAAAATATCTTTTCTTTTGGCGCCATACTTTCAGTTTCTAGATAGATGTCGAAACACGCCCTCAGCCGTTGTATCTGCGCCGTCAATGTCGGAGACTTTGTCCACATCACATTGACTTCTTTCTCGATATCTCTGATGATATCAGGGGATGCTTGTACCATTGGGCTGATGCTTACGCTAAATACTGGTGCTAGCTTCGGATAATCTGGCTTGATGGCGATTCTTGCCACAAGTTCACCTAAAAACATTTTAAATCTTAATGTCTAGAAATATTATTACATTTCTTATATATATTATAATAAATAAAATATATTTAATTATAATAAATAAATATATATTCTTATTCTTAGTAAATATTAATTATTATTAAACTTATATTCGTAGTAAATAATAATATTGTCATACTACTGCCACGTCGAAGTGTAGCTTCGTAGAACATATCTACGGACGATACTAATCCCCGTTGACAGAATGCTGGTGAAGCGATATAATTCGAGTAATTCTTCCAGGTCATAGTCGTGAATCGGTGCAATGATGTTGAGATTTTCTGAGGCACTGGATCCGACGTGCTGATATAGATCGGTAGATTACCAGATTCCAATAGTCGTATTTCCGTACATAAATCTAGCCGCGCTTTTACACGCCGTTTGATTTCTTTCAACACACTCTCAACACAATCTTGTGCCAATTCTTGACTTGTAAGCTGTAAATAAAATAAAATTTTAGTTAGATATTATAGATTAGCTGATCTAATCAATGAACAAAATTATTTTAAATATAAATTTAACGTATAATTATAACGTAAAATTATTTTAAATTGTTATAACTATTTTTTAAATATTTTACTCTAATGAATGCAAAAACCGAAAAATTAACTTAATTTTAAATAAATTATTTTTAACATTTCAATTATATGTACCTTTTGTTGTTGTTCATTCATATCAGAGGAAACAAAGTGCAGACCAGCCATTCTTTGTGCCCATCTGTAGGGAATACCTAATCCCAAAGATGAAAATGAGCCCAAATTATGCCGTGACAGTTGATACTGATTAGCGGGATTCGGACTCTCCAATCCTGAGTCTCGCGGATATAGTTCACGAAGAATTGATTCTGATACCAGCATGTCTCTGTTAATTAAATTAATTAATTAAACACAACCAGAGAAAGAGAAATAATTGCCCCAAATAATTAAATAAAAAAGAAAAAAGTATGCTTTCATAATTATACATCTAATAATTATATATTTCATAATGATATATTAGAAATTTATGTAATTCAATATATCAAATTAAAAAAAGTTTTAGTAATTTTACATACCCAGCACTAATACCTCCTAACTCTTCCGTTTCGAGTTTTGACTCCACTGTAATAACTTTTAAATGGATCATGTAATAGAAGCAAAGAGTTAACTTTGTCTCATCTGAAAAGTTAATTTTACACAAAATAAGATTTAAATTAAGATTTTTAAAAATATTCAAAATGTAATTTTATTTTATTTATTTTTACACTTTTAGAATACAAGTGCAAATGTTAAAATAAAATTAGATTTTAGACTTTAATGACATTTTGAACTAATTTTCATGGACCACAAATATTTATTCAAGACTTACTTTTAATACGATAATGATTTTTACGTGCAACGGGTGTCGTTGCAGCAACTTGGACCGCTTTTCTTCCTGCCTAGCTTCCCGAGATAATCTATGATGTCTCTTTTTATGCACAGGCATTTCTTCTACAATATTTTCTGATTGATTCTCAGGATCAGAGTCGGACTCTTGTAAACCATCCTGATTATTTGCGCGTTTCGCTTCATCTTCATCACCCTCTACTTTGACCAGTAATGTATTATCTACAAAATATTTTAAGAAACAATATGAGATTTTAATTCATAAACAGCATTGATACATGTATATTAAATTATCTAATATTTATATTAATTATACCATAAGCATCCCTATAGGCAGATGCTTTTGCATATAATACATAAAGTGGAGATGCAAGTAATGAAGCTTTTTGATGCTCTTGACGAATTTTATCTAAAGGTAATCCGAGGCTCTCTTGCAACGGTTTGCTCGCCTGAAAATGTAGAAAATAAAAATTTGTCATTTATATAAATATTTAAAAAACACATTGTATATATTTTTTAAACTAATAAATTCTTACCTCCAATATAGAACGTAGTTGTGGTGCAAGATTATCTAAACGAGTCTGTTTTGTCTCAATACTGGCTGCTACTGCCTTTTTGCTCTCTGTTAGTTCATCACACAATGCTGCCAATTGTTTCCTTTGCGTCAATTCCCACTCCAAACGAGCTAATCTCAGTTGATGAGGATTATTTTTTGTTATTTCCTAAAATATATTTGTCACATGTATTGCAAAAAGAAATTAATTTAAATTTACTCTAGCTATATGAAAAATTTGTATACAGATCGTGAAATGCTTTCTGGAGCTTCTTTGTAAAATTCCTCTTCTGAAACAAGTTCTATCAATTCGTCCTTGGATCTAGATTGAAAGAAAGATTTTATTTTATTTAAAAATTTTTAAAATAAAGATTTCCCTCTACATAAAAATACAGAGACTCACTTAAACTGCAGACATTTGACAACTTCCTTTTTCAAATGCATCACTTCGTACAACAGATTCTGCAAATGCAAATGTCTACTATCTACACTGCTTTTCGCAGCTACAAGAGAATCACGTGCACATTTTGTTCGAAACTTTTCCATTCGATTTAGCTTCTTCAATTCTACAAACGCCAGAGATGTTTGAATTTGTAATTCACGAATTTCATCTTTTGCCTAAAATATTTGTTTTATTAAATTTACCAACTAAACAATAAATAAATGATAATCATTAGTGTAAGCTTTATTACAAACATTTGCATCCCCACTGGATTTTAATTTAACTATTTTAGCCATTGCTGCTCGAATATTGTCACAAGTCGTTAAAAAACATTCGGAATCATCTTCTGGTAACCTCTCGTTAGCTTCCTTTTCTTCGTAATTTATTATTATCTGGAAATTAGATATAAGTTAGGTGTAATTCATAGAATTAAAAAATATATATTTTGTTATACATACTTTTAGCTCTTCATTATAATTAACAAACAATTATAATCTTTGACATTTTTTGTTATACTTAGGTGTAATTTATAAAAGTAAAAAATATATTTTGTGTCTACTTCTTGACTCTTTATTATAATTAACAAATAATCATAATTTTTGGTATTTTTATACCTTGTACATGTCTCCGTCTTTCAGGGACGTTCCACCGCTCGCATTCACAGACTTTCTCCTTTTTTTCGTACCATCCGTTTCATTTTCCTTACCCATTTTTAATCAATTAGATTCTAAGATGTGTATCCTTTATTTATAACGGAAAAACGCTAAATTGTAAAGAAATGATGCGGTATAAAACAAGGTTAGAAAATCACACGCCAGTTTCAGCGCCGGCTACTCGGGATATGAGTGAACTTAAATCAGTCACGTGACATCGATTTTAGTTCGCTCATATTTCGAGTAGCGGCGCTAAAACTGGCGTGAGATTATGGCACAGATTAATAGACAGATCGCCAAAGGTCTGGATGAAGGAGAGACCAGCATTTCTCACTGATTTCAGCGCCATATCGTAGTAGTGGTCAATGCAGGAACTATTAATACGTTCCCAAGATAAGAGCGTCTTATGCTCATGAACTCGTCCGACGGCATATACGAGATTTTATCTTTTCGTAGCGTTCGCGTATTTCGGAAAGGACAGAATTTTATGATGTTATAAATAAAATAAATAAATAAAAAATTAATCTGACCTATTATAGTTATTGAATCTTTTTTTAATAAATGTTTCATTATTATTATCATCTAAGTCTAAGTTGTTTAATTAATTTTTAGTTTTTTAATAATTAATTTAATTTATTCTAATCATTTTAATATGAGAAAAATACTATTACGTATACGTTTTATAATGAATTAATATATTTCGGGGGAGTCGAATTATATATTTTTAATAATATAAGTGTTCAAAAATTATATTTGCCTTTTAATTTCAATTATTTTAGCAAAGAGTTCCGAAATTTCTTACACACAGATTCAATAAATATAAGTACATGTTATATATATATACTTATATTTATTGATCTTTTTTTTTATAAAATGTTTTATTATTATCATATAAAATATAAATTATTTAAGGGCAACGTAACAGTCGCGATGACAAAAGAATATTACACGAATAAGATGGAAGGTTTACTTGAAGACAATAACACCTATTCTATCATAAAAAAGAACCCATCCTCCAAAATAGAAAAGGAACTAAACGATATTCTTAAGAAATGGCAAAAAAAAGAGTACATTTCTAATAAAGAATATTACTCACTACGTTCCAGCGACTCCCTTCTTCCAAAATGTTATGGTCTCCCAAAAATACACAAGGAGAATACTCCATTTAGGTTAATTGTGTCATCGATTAATACCACGCTTTACTCGATAGCCACATTTTTACATAAAATCATTTCAAATAGTATTCCTACGGGAAAAAGTAATGTAAATAATAGTTTTGAACTTTACAGCAAGCTAGCGGGTAGGAAAATTGGTGCGGAAGATATTCTAATATCATTAGACGTGGTTTCACTATTTACTAACATTCCGATAGATCTTGCAATAGAAAGTGTGAGCAATAGATGGAATTATATCAATACACATACATTAATTCCAAAAAATGAATTCATTTCCATGGTTAAATTTATATTGTCGTCAACATACTTCACATTCAATGACATTGTATACA